AATTATACAGCACTGGAAAAGTGGGTCAGCACTTTATCATTTACATATCTAGGTCAGGTCAGCATTTTCCAACTAGTTTGTACTTGTAAATTCATGTGTACCACTATTATCTCTTAAAATGGAAAACATGGAATTACCAGGTAAAGGTAAGCCTGTATGTGAATGTGCAAACACACACACAAATACCCCATTTACCCAAAGTAATTGACTACAGGGGATTGAAAAGATTTTCACTAATACATAGAAATACTTAACATTTTCTTTTGGTGTTATTGGCACATTAAGTTCAACCTTTGTTGCTGCTTACTGTAATGCAGCACTGATATTATCCCAAATATACAAGTTATCTTAATTTGAAATCCAGAAACTAGGATTGCTTAATGCTTCAATGCTAAGAACACATCAACTTCCTTGAGCACCAGTGGCAGAAAACATTTGGATTATTTAATGAAATAATCCAAATGTATAACTTTGATCTTGGGTAAATCAGCATGTCTAAGCATCAGTTTCATTTCATTTGTAAAATGAGGGAGCTGGACTAAATAGCCATTTGATCTCACTGGTCCTGTTTCAAAAGTATAAAGAGACTTGCTCTACTTACACTTTCCACTTAAATAACTTGCACAGCTATGGGTAAAGCTACAGTCTAGAGAAGCACCTCAACTCTGTTCTACACTGGCAACACTGGTGGTCACTTGTGTTTACTTCCATCTCACTGTCATGGTACTTACGATGCATTCACTGTGTTTGTGCTGCTTAGTTTTAGAGCTATTTTCATGGACAATTCAGATCTAAATATAAAGTAACAAGGATGTCAAAGGTGTTAATTAGAGAAAGCATACATAAACCTATAATAAATAGCAGACTTGAATGAAGAAATAAATGCTTCACATGTCCTTGATAATTTTGACAAAAGAAAGTATTCGGAAGGACAAAGCACAAATTCTGTTATGAAAAAATTTACTTTGACCATGTAGTCAAAAAAAGACAGACTGATAAAATAGAAAAGCTTCCAAATACACAGAGTCAAATGTGGTAAGAACGTGGGCTACACATTAGAATCACCTGGAGCTTTTAAAAAGTCAATGCCCCCAAATTTAGACTTAATTAGTTGGGCATCTACAGTTTCTCAAAGCTGCCTGGAAGTTTTTACTTGCATTTGGGGTTATAAGGCACTATATTAGAGAACCAGCATCCACATCAGACACCTATTAGCCTAGTGCAATGGTTTTCATAGTGTAGTTCATGGAACCCTGTCATAGATTTGAGATCAAAACCATTTTTATAATACTATGACATTTGCCTTTCTACATTGATGCCTTTTGCGTTAATGGTGCAAAAATGGTAGCAACAGAATTATCATTTTAAATAACTTCCCTATCCTCCAACCACAGAGGCATACCAACCTTTTCTTCTTGAATTAAATCTGAGCTTCAATATTTATAAGCCCTGTGATCTTGGGCAAGGCACTTAATCCTTCTGTGCCTCATTTTTCGTAAGTACAGTGTGGCCAATAATTTAAGTTTTTAATAAAAGACTATGTAAAGTGCCTGGCAGAGTAGGTACTTAACCAGTATTTCCTTCCAATCCAATCAATCATCCAAACTGAAGTTGTGCTTCATCAACCCTCACTACACACCCTCAAAATGATTTTCTTATTTATCCTTTCCTTTAACCTAACTACTATTGTCAAGACTTGAGGCATTTAATCATCCACTACCTGGATCACTGTTTTTTGTTTCCAAACTGATCTCCCAAATTTTAATCTTCCTCTATTTAAATATACCTTCTATATTGTTACCCATTGGTTTTCTAAAATGGGCACCATTCTTTTCCCTGCTCAAAGTCTTTACCACATAAGCAATTAAACATCATCAAAACATAAAGTACTTGGTATGGCAAAAACACCTTTCAGATCTGCCCCCAATCTTTCTAGTTTCATCTCTCATTTCACTGCTTAACTTCTATTTCTGTCAAGTCTCCATGCAACTATTAACTTGATGCCCTTTGGCTCTATAACTGCCATTTCCTTTATCTATATCTAATGTACAGAGTACACTATCTGGCTCTAGCTAATGATTCCTTCAGCAATCCCTAATCACTCTTGAACATACAGGTAGAGCATTATCTCCTTGGGGATGTCTTTGCAGCAGTTCCCAGCCAGAATTACTCCTTTTGTGTTTCATTAGAACTTATGTGCTAATATTTTCTCTGCTACAAGATGAGGGAGAACATTTCACACTCCTTTTCTCATACTCAGTTTAAGTATAAAATGTGGGCAAAAGCTCCTACTCTGCAGGGTTTGTTAATAATAAATACCTGTAAATCACCTAACATACCAACAAAGAAATGAAGATAAATTTCCTTAGGTTAACCAAAGTAGAGGATGGGAACTGGGAAATGATTCTGACCCCGTGTGGCTCAGCCTAAAGCTCACGGTCCTTCTACTACACATATTGTCTTCCTACACATTAGCAGATAACACATGAAATTTACTTATTTAATAGTCGTTTCCACTGGACTGTGAAATCCCTGAATATACTGAGCATGTCTTATATGACTTTGTATTTCCAGACTCTCATTCAAGTACTGACTCTGACACTGGGATGTAGAGATTGAAAGATCTAGTCCCTACTTTAAGAACTCTGCCTAGAGCAAGGCTGGTGTGGCTCAGTTGGTTTAGTGCAGTCCCATGTACCAAAAGGTCATAGGTTCAATTCCTGGTCAGGGCATGTGCCCTGGTTGCAGGCAGGTAAGGGGGCATGCAAGAGGGGAGAAATACAGACAACACCTTATTGCTGTTTTTCTTGTGGTAAGTGCTATGCTAGTGGGATAATGGAGGAATATACAAGGACTATGGATGCCCAAATGGATACCTAAAAGGAGTAAAAAGAAAATAAAGGGGCAGGGAAAGCTTTTTGGGAAGAGATGAAACTTTTGAGTTATAAAAAGTTAGGGAGAACAAAGCACTCTGAAGTTCTTAAAAGTATTAATTCATAAGTGGTATAATGATGACTGTTTATGTTCTGAGTAAGTTGTTACCGCTGATAAACATTTTACGGCCTTGAAAAGCACTTAAAAATGGTAATTCAGACTTCAGTCATGATCACTGAATAACTTCACGAATATTCCAAGTTTAGGTGCAAAACTCAACGCTGACATTGGAAGCTCACAGGAACAGAGCAGAAATGAAAAATTAATCACCTGACCTCTGTTTCTATTATCTTCCCATGTTTAATTGGCATATTATATATCTGAGTGACAGATCACTAAGGCATTTCATCCTCTATTAGGTTGTTTCTATTAACAACATGAAGATTTCTGGCATCTGGATATTGAAATAAGTTTGAGTTCTGGCTTTACTAGGTAGTGCAACCCCAAGCATATCAGTATCCCCTGACTTCCTTCATGTACTCAGAAGTTGTTGTGGTCTTGAAATAAGACAGTGTTTATAAACTGATTTTTCAAACCCAGCCCGGCACTCAAAGTGCTAATAAACCAGAGCTACTATTGTTACTTTTGAAAAAATAAGTATGGCTAGATGGTTTAAATATTGTTGATCTTAAACACAGTATCCATCTTGCTTTTAATTAGACATAAAATAGTAAGATGATGAAAAGAATATATCTTTGACTTGCACTAAAAGTAAAATAATTCAACTTCAGCTTCTTAGAAGATAAACAATTAAAAATAACAGTCTCTCTACTCCTTTTAAATTGAAGGAACCAACTTTTCTAAGTTAAATAACAGCTCACTAATACTCTTAGAACAAGTGTATCCCACTTACCATTTGGTAGTGGGGAAAAAAGCTGGAGAATATTCTTGTTCAAAAAAGGAATAACCTGCCATCAACTGCTCTATAAGTGTTAAACTTCTCCAAGGAAGAGACTGTGACTAATGCTCTGGCTATAACCAAAGTAGCTAGGATAAAGCAAGCAACAAGTACAGTAATGAGTTTTCAATTAAGTGTCTATGGGTTTTGTGTTATAGGAACTTCTGGGAACACAAGTTTAGCAACTGTTCACATAGAATAGCATTTAGGATATTGTGGTTGCTTTTGATACTGTAATAAAAGGCAGGTATCCTTTCCCCTATATGCTCCTAACTAGAACATCTGGCACATGGGCTTCATAAGTTCATCATGAGGGCCTGGAATAGAGGCTTTTGGCATTTCACCAAAGCACAGGTAAATGCCTCAGAGCTTGGGAGCTGGCACTATTACTACTGATACTGCATCTGTCCTCTGGCTATTCTAGCTTTACCTCCTTTTTTCATCCTGGAGTTGCAAGCATTTCTGTTGCGAACTCTTGTGACTTATTTCAAACTTTTCTAAGAGGGCCAAACTATCAGAGGAATCTGCAATAACACAAAATAACATATACAACCTTAGTAAGTATGGAGAGGAGAGAACAGACACCACTCCAAATACATTAAGCTACTAGAAGGAAGACCATCTTTGCAGAGACATCCAAGCATTAAAACCTAGTTTGTAAAACAGCAACCTTAATGTTGAGAGAATCGAGGAGAGGCCTAAAAGCCACTAATTCAAAAGATAAAAATTAAGGTGTAAACTTTGGGGTTTGACAACAATAAAACAAAAACCTAGATCAGGCGGGTGGGGAGAGGAGACGCACATAACCAGAGCAAGCTCCAGAAGCTGTAATGCCTCAACGGGTCAAGGACCAGAGTCTACGTAACCGACCGGTTAATCCAAACCAGCACATTTCTTCGAAACTGATCACGAAAGTGGCCTCTGCGAACAGGTCGGGCTCCGCGACCCCGGGATCTTTCTTGGATGGTCGGCCCTGGTTCTCCCCGGTCGGGCGTGCAGGTGCCGCATGGCTCCCGGACTGGGCATCCTCCGAATCCCGGGAGAATCAAGCTCGTAACAAGGCTCCCTGGCCTGCGCACCCGGGGCCGCCTCCCAACCCTCCAGCCCGAGTTCGGCGCCACAGCCCCTTCAGAAAGCTGAACCACGACCCCACAGCCCAGGTTCTTACCATAGTGAGGCCGGCGAAGCCCCAGCCACATCACCCTTCCGGGCCCAGGGCGGAAAAGGCGTCTTCGCCCCGCCTGCCCGTCTCGCTCCTTCCGGCGTTCCGGTTGGGCCTGTCAGGGCACCGCCTCCTGAGCCGCTCGACTCCGGACTAGGATAGGTTCTGCTGTACCGGGATAAGGCGGGATTTAAGTGACGTCACGCGCCCCTGCGGAAGTAGATGACACTCTCATTGGCTGGAGGACGTCCGCCTGTGGGAGCGGGCCTTTTGGAGGAGAACGGAAGTGGAGTCAATGAGAGGTAGGGTTCGGAAGTAGAGGTTTACCTCTAGGTAATAGTAACTGTAGTTTTGTCCCCCCCCCCCCGCCCCTTTTTACTTTTTCAATTAAATTTTTTTTAGTGCTCTCTTTTTTTCTGTCTAAAATTCCGCAGTGCGTGGATATTTCCCGACCAGGATCCCCTTTAATGTGTAACCTACTGAGCCTTCCGTTTGTTGACTCGGGGACGCCCGGGTTCTGTGGCCTGGTGCGCAAGGCGTGCACCTGCAGGCCCCCTTTTCAGTTTCTCACTGTGCACCCGACGGGTTCTTTGGATTACAAAGCCTTTTTGAAATATCCTGTAATGGTTCTGGGGATTAGGAGGACCCTTGAATCTGGAGGGTTGTTTTGAGTACGCTGTTTGATAATTTCTCTAACACTGGCCTTTTCTCTCCCCTTCCCCAGCTTTTTGTGAACTGCCAGTAGGTTGCATCTGGGGCTGAAACGTTCGGCCCTTTGGAATCGGGAACAACTCTCTTTTGTAATAAATGGAAAGCAGCCGCCTTTTCCTGAATTCAGGAGTTGATTATGTACGCTAGGGAAGCGATCTACCAGCATGACAAACCACATGCCAACTTTTTCTTTTAATTAGTAGTAGTATTTAGCTTCCTCTAATTTTAATCATCCCAGTAGGTCAGGCTCTACTCGCCACCACCCCCCACTTTTTTCTTCGCATATTTGAGAGAAACAGGTGCATTGATGTGTACCGCTTGCATAATTTTTGTAATTATTTAGAGTTTATTCCTCTGCCTCCTTAAGTGAGTTAATTATGACAACTTTATGGCTTCAAATATATAGTTTATTTTTTTCCTCAGGCTGCAGAGGGTTCTTTTCAGAATGTTATTTTAAATATTCTTTATTTAAAAGATAGAAAAAAAAAGTGGATAGAAAAAAAAATAAGGGAAAGAAACTCATAAGGAGTTGATTTGCTTTCTATATTTGGCCAAACTATGAGACCCTTCTATATTTAGGGCAACATGGTAATTAAAACATTAGATTTCTGCTATCTGTGATTACATTGTTTGCTACCAAAATTTAAAAATATAACTAACTTTACTTTTGAATCTACTGAATTGTAAAGAGTTGGTCAAATATACAATTTTATCAAGTATTTACTGAGCCTTATTAATGGGAAAATGAGAGTGCAGTAGAGGAATAACCATGGCCTGTTTCTTGGAGAAATTTACTGGTCAAAGGAAAGAGGGGAGTAAGACATGTATAAAAAGTGTACAGTACCCTCTTCCTATCAGAAAACAAGCCATTTATAAGTCTTGCCATTCAACTAAACAAACTTGATGTAGCTATGGAAGTTATGTAATGCAACTCATCGAGCTTGGCTTCTAAAGTAGTAAATGTGTCTAGACTTTATAACTGTTTTTGCTTTCATGTGAAGATCGTCTTGATCTTTATGAACATGTAAGGGTAATAATTCTGTGGGAAGCTGTGCCTCAGGCTACCTGTGAAGAGCACTAGGAAACTGAAGTCGCCAAAGATCACAATCGATTTATTTTATTTATGGATTACACTTACTTTTAGGCCATGGGCACTTAGGTACTTCAGCTTAAAAATAGTAAAGAAAAATATTTGCCGGTGAAAGTTGTACACTGAGGAACACAAATGGCAATAGATGAAGATGAACGTATATATATATAATTTATTTTTTCATGTAACACAGCAAACAAAATTAATCTGACCTGTGGTAACAGGTGGGGAGTTAGTAGTTGAGCTATGTGGTCATTAAGCACATAAACCCCTGCTTTTGGTTTTCACTGCCAGTGAACTAAGTACTATCTTACATGCTACTACTTCAGAAGTCTTCTTTCTGGCAGCTCTGCTATGGATTCTCATTTCTTAATAAATCATCTTAGATAATTTTCTTACTAAAAATAAAATCTGACTGTCATTTCTTTGTTCAAATATTAGCCTGGCCGCTGTGGCTCAGTGCTTTAGCATTGACTCATGCACCAAGAGGTCGCCGATTCTATTCCTGGTCAGGGCACATGCCAGGTTGTGGGCCAAATCCCTGGTGGGGGGCACGCAGGAGGCGGCCAGTTGATGTTCTCTCTCACTACTGTTTCTATCTCTCTCTTCCTCTCCCTTTCTTTCTCTCTAAAATCAATAAAGAAAAAAATTAAAAAGAAAGCCCTGGCCGGTTTGGCTCACTGGTTAGAGCGTTGGCCTGCAGTCCAGAGAGACCCGGGTTTGGTTCCCACTAAGGGCACATACCTCTGTTGCAGTTTGTTCCTGGCTCTGGTTGGGTCGTGTGGGTGGCAACCACTGGATGTGTCCTTTTCCATTGATGTTTCTCTCGCTCTCTCTCTCTCTCTCTCTCTCTCTCTCTTCCTCGCTTTCCCTCCCACTCTGTCTGAACAAAAAATAGAAAAAATGTCCTCAGGTGAGGATAAAAAAAAAATTATTACCTTTCTATGGGGTTCCACAAGAATATGAAACCAGAGGACAAATTGGACATTTAAGGTTTATATGCCATTTCCAGCCAAGGAGGAGGAGTAAAGGGATAATGGTTTGGGACTACATAGAGGAGGGAAGGAAAGGTGAAGATAGGAAAGCAAATGCTTAGTAAATAAATGTTTGCAGGCTCATCTTTAACAATGGATACAGAGAAGACTTTGATCGAATGAGCCTTGCTAGATTCCTCCTTATTACATACTAGTTTTTATTTAACTATAGTTGTCTATGATGATAGCTCTCTTCCTGGAGCAGGTCCTTTGTCTAAGTTCCTTTAAGCAGTTGGGGGAATGTTAAAGGTTTTTCTTGAGTCCTTTGTTTCTTAAATATACCAGCTTAGAATAATCAGTGTCCCATTAGGCATATTTTCGGGTGGCAGACTCAGCCTGCCCTCACTTGAGATCATTTCAAAATGGCTATTACACCACACTCCTCCAAAGTACTTTTGTTAGGGTTACCATTAATCTCTAGGTCATTCTCAGTCATTATATTTGACCTGTAAGCAACCTTTGATACAATTGATCATTCTTTTCTCCATGATATATTTTCTTCACTTGATTTCCAGGACTCTACACTCTTGGTTTTTCTTCTACCTCATTAGTTGTTCCTTCGCAGTCTTCCTTCTATTCTTCCTGATCTTTTATTATTGAAGTTCTCCAGGGCTCAGTCTTTGGTTGTCTTCTTTTCCTCTGTCTATACTCCTTCTTAATGATATCACGTCTTAATGACTTTAAATACCATATGTATACTGAACACTGTATTCCTAGTACCCTCTCTCTGAACTCCATGCTCACACATCCAGTTTTCTACCTCTACATCTCCACTTGTTTAAAGATATTCAAACTTAAATTTCATAAACAACTCTTTTACCCCTAATCCTGCTCCATTCTTTCTCATTTCAGCTGATGGCCACTATATAGCCAGTTGCTAAAAGTTAAATATTTGGCATCATCCTCTATTTTTTCTCTTATATTCCATCCAATCCATCATCAAATCCTATTGACTGGATCTATAAAATATATCTAAAATTTGACCATTTCCTACTATTTCTATTATTAGTATACTGATCATCTCTTGCTTGGATTACAGTAATAATGTTCTATCTGGTCGCCCCTGCTTTCTTCAATCCTTGCCTGTCTACAGTCTATTCTTATACAGTGGCCAGAGTGATACTTTTAAATGTAAGTAAAAAATTGTATTAAAATTTAAGGTTTTAAATGCAATGTGTTAGCCTAGATTGGGTCCTGGAGTAGACAAGATATATTAGTGAAAAAACAACAACAACAACAAAAAACTGGTAAAATCTGAATAGTTTGGAGTTCAGTTAATAGTAGTACACTAATGTTGGTTTCTTTGTTTTAATAAATTCACCGTGGTAATATAAGGTGTTAATTTTAGAGGAAACTGGGTGAAGGGTATGTGGAAGCACTGTATAACTTTGCAACTTTTCTGTAAATTCAGAATTATCCCAAAACAAAAAGTTTATTAAAAATGAATATAACATTAAATTTTTGCTTAAAAATCTTTTACAACTTCTTGTTTGACTCATAGTAAAAGCCAACATTCTTACACTGGCTTACAAGACTTTACATGATCTGCTCTCCCATTACCTCTCTGACTTCATTCCTTTGTATTCTCTGCCTCCTCACTGTGTTCCATCCATACTGGCTGCCTCATTTCTTAAACACACTAGGCCCATTTCCACCTTAGGGCCTTTGTACTGGCTGCTTCATCTACTTGGAATGCTTCTTTCCAGACATCCACACAACTAGTGCCTTCACCTCCTTTATGTATGTGTTCAAATGTCACCTTTTTCAATAAAGCCTAACTCAACCTCCTAATTAAAATTGCAGCTTTGCAACTGCTTCCCCTCTTCCCCCAACTGGCCTCTGCACTCCCAGTTTCCCCTACCCTATTTTATCTTCTTTTACTATAGCACTTGTCACCATATTTTACATACACTAAGGTGTATTTTTAATTGTTTGTCTACTCCTATTAAAATGTGAACTTTATAAAGGCAGGAATTTTTATCTGTTTTGTTCTCTTATGCCAAGTTCTAAAACACTGTTTGATTCATAGAAGTAGACAATATGTTTTGGTTCAATAATTGAACTTGACTGGGTATTTGAATTTGTAATCCTTGATTTACAATCAGTCTGAAACATTGAATTGTTTATCATTTCCATAGATCATGCTATTTCTTGCCTGTAAGCCTTTGCTCATGCAGATTCTTCTTCCTGGAATGCCTTTCCTTATCCTTTTCCTTCCACCCTTAAATCAATTTTTATCCTTTAAGATTCATATCTTAAAAGATGTAAGTTAGGGAAACCTTTCCTGCAATGTGAGGCTGGCTGATGTGCTACTTTTCAGAGGAGCTCCCACCCTGCCTCTGCACTTTACAAGCTTGTAATGCTTCTCTTTGTGTGTTTCTATCTCACTAGAGAGCTGAACGTGTCCTACTCATCTTTGGGATATCAGAGCCTGGGTACTAAGGTAGAGTTTTGATTTCACACTTGGTCTTCCGAGTAGAAAAATCAGTGCTCTATCTGTTATACTCTGTTTTCTAGGGAAAAGGTGACTGTGTTTAAAATAATGGGAGGATGGTTCTTTTTATACAAGTAGGAGGTAGTTTATGCATTTTATAGCCCTGGTCAGTTTGCTCTTAGTCATTTGTGCAGCTGCCCATGCTGATGAGAAAGTAAGTTGTGCTGTTTTTCTAAGACACTGCATGAAATGAATGTACAGAAAGTTATTATAGTCAGCAAATTTTTATTTTATTTTTTATTTATCTTCCCCTGAGGATATTTTTGTATTTATCTTCAGATAGAGTGGGGGGAGTGGGGGCATTGACTTGAGAGAGACACATTGACTGGTTGCCACCCACAGGACCCCAACTGAGGCCGGGATTAAACTGCAATCGAGGTACATGCACTTAGCGGGAACCGAACCAGGATCTTTCTAGTCCGCAGGCTGATGCTCTAACTGCTGCGTCAACCCAGCCAGGGCATCAGCAAATTTTTAATGTTCATGAATTTGGGCTCTTTTTGGGAGAAAAACACCACTGAGACTTTGTTGCCCAAAAGAAGAAATCCACGCTAGAATTCCAAACTGCTCCTGAGACATGCTTTTGTAGATGCCAGTATTGCCAATAGCTGAAAATTAAACTTTTGCTTGTGTGCCTTTGGGAAATCTCAGGGTATTTTCAAGATATTGCAAAGGTTTTCTCCCAGTGATATGGAAATTTGCTCTTAAGGTTGAATTGATGATTAGTTTGTTTTCAGTTACCTGTTATGGTAGGCATTCTGAATTCAAATGGTCCCCTGAATATCATCATCATTGCAGTCTGTAAAGCTGTCTTTCATAATTTTGCCCATCTTTTGGAATAACAAAAAAGGAAATAATTTATATAAATTCTGAAAGATTTTAGTGGCTTTCAACCCCAGCAGTGGAGTTGCAAATGATTAGGCTTGAGAGTCAGTAATCAAAAACAAATATTACTTGAGGACTTGTATTCCAAGTACTCTAGAATTTGTGCCTGGTTTCTTTGAGCTTTACTCACCCTGCAGAAGTGACCAAAATGTTGAAATAAGCAAAGAGCTTAATCTGTATTTTGTGTGTGTGTGTGTCTGAGAGGATGCTTTTAGCTTACTTAAAATTCTATCTGAACAGTTAATGAGAATTTTATTGAATAAAGGAAGTACTTGCTCAGAAATAAGTGTTTGCTAAGAAATGAGATGCAGCCATTGTTGAAGAGTCTCAAAAGTCCTGACAGCATAAATATTGACATGCTGAGATATGTCAATATTTACCATAGAATTTGGAAGTTTCCAAGTTCCTGTTTAAGAAATATGATCCTAGCATTGAACACAGTATATCAATAAATAAGGAACATGTCCAAATGAACAGCTGCTCAGAGAAAATAGGATACCATCTGTTAAACGTGGGGCAGTTAAAAAGTTACATTTAAAAATATTACTGAAGTTTCTTAGGTAATTTGTAGGTAGATGCTTATACAATACAGTAAACTAATATAGTTCCATATGTGGGCTTCATTTAAGTGCTTTTAAAAAATGACAGCGTGATTTTAATTTATAACTTTGTAAATTAGTTGAGCTATGATACTCCTGTGTAAATTGATTTTTAAAAACCTTAATATTGTGTTTAGGAACCAACTTTTTCATTTTAAGCATTATTCTTACAAAAATTGGCTCAAGTCATGACTTAGATATTACTTTTGGGATCTAAAAGTCTGTGCTCTGAGAACTTAGCAATAGAGAAAATATAAGAAGTTTCTTAAGTTTAAATATGATGAGGAAATTTGTCCTGGTTATTATCTGACAACTATGTCTCAGATGGAACCTGTGGAGTAATGAGTTAGTAGAGCCGATCTGTTTGGTTAAATATCACAGATCACCACTGTTAATTCCCATGTGACTGTCACCGTAATATAACATTTGATGCAAAGTAGAAGGATGTTTGAAGCTTCTATATCAAGTCATTGGAACCACGCAAACAATCTTCCATTTGTTATGCAGACTTCTAGATGGTAAAACGTCACATTTTTTTGAGTGATAGTCCTAAAAACCGTCATGTAAAGTCATAAATTACGGGTATTGGGACTGCTCCTGTCATTGGTTCTCTTTTCTGATAACAGAGATTGATGACTTTTATTTAATAATCTAATTTAACAACATGTTATGTTTATATTGTGAAGAATGGATGCAAAGTTCAATTGAAGTCATATATTCTGTTAGAAGCTATCTTTGTTTCTATAAATACCTTGATAAACATGAAAAAACAAATTTGCTTAGAGGTTTATTAAGGCATTTAACCTATTTTCATTATATTAAAGATGGAAGCCTGGCTGGTGTGGCTCACTGTTTGAGTGTCGACCCATGCACGCACCAAGAGGTCGCCGGTTTGATTCCCAGTCAGGGCACATGCCCAGATTGTGGGCCCAGTCCCAAGTGGGGGGGGGGGGGGCGTGCAAGAGGTGGCCAGTTGATGTTCTCTCTCATCGATGTTTCTATCTCTCTCTCCCTCTTGCTTCCTCTCTCTCTAAAATCAATATAGAAAATATATTTTTTAAAAAGTTGGAAAAGAAAGACATTTCAGTATATTAAATATGGAAGAGAAAGAAACAGTTTTATAATTCGAATTGGTTGGTTCTCTCTTTTAGAGAGAATTTGCCAATATTTTGATTTAAGCTGTTGAGTTTTAAGGAGAAAACACTAGACTTATTAATAGTGATTTTTAAAACTTGGCAAACATTTTTTCTTTTTCTTTTGCCACGTAACTAAGACTTGAATCTTTGTTTTGAATACACATATGGTTTTCTTCTAGAGTTATTAGGGCCTTATGCAAAATACTCACCAGTTACCTTCTTGAACCACCTGTTCCCAGTGTTAACTTTAACTTCCATATTACTACCCCAGTCTCTTATTGTTTAACCTCATCCCAAGCCCCTTATTCCAGGAAACCAAAGCTTATCACTCCGGCCAGGCGGAACAGTATCCTGAAACCCCCATCCAAACCTAAAAAGCCGCTGGACAAGAACAACAACTCTTGGAAAGACCCCAGCCCCGACCAATCAAGGACGACCACCACTCCTTGGCCTGGCAACCACCAGCCCTAAGTTTAAAACCCCTTAGTCTGTATGAACCGGCTGCTGCGCTCTACATGGAGGCAGCCTGTCAGGTATTTCCCTCAATAAACCTGCACTTCCTGGTTACTCAGCTCCATCCCGTTCTTATACCCAGTTATTTATTATGTAGTGATAAGAAAGTTGCCCAGTGTTTTCAAAATGTTCTATGTTTTAGATTTGATGAGAGTGTAAACATGTTAAACTTAAAATGTAAAACTTTTTGATGTTGAATATTATGAGTTTAATACAGTGTTTCCCAAAGTGTCTGGTGTACACATACCACTGATGGTTGAATATATACAGTTGCTTGCTTACAACTGTTTTGCAGGTACTATGAGATAATTCAGGTTAAGAAAATGAAATGATTTGCCTAAATTCACATAACCAGTGAATGATAATGAGAATGCATTCTGAAGTCTGTCTGAATCCAAAGCCTGATACAAGGTAGCAAAAGGAAAAAGGAATTTCTTGGCCTCATACCTAAAACATCCATGGTTAGATCTAGATTCTGGTGCTTTTGGAATCAGATCTGAGCTGCTGCCCACCCCTCAGTTCCACTTTTTGCTATTTTGGTTTTGTTCTCAACAGCTCCAGGCCCACTGTGTCATTGCACCAGATCTTTAGAGAAGAATCTGTATCCTTTATAATGCAAATAAAAGTCTTGGAATTGAGTCTCAGTGGTCTGAGTCATTCTAACTTGAATCATGTGCGCATCTCTGAATCAATCATCAGGAATTAATTAGAATGTGATGTTGGCTTCCTCCAAGTTTGTGTTCTACTTCTGGAATATGGGGCCAAAGCCAGCTTGCCTAAAGCCTGTGGACTGAGATGAGCAGAGGTGGGATCACTCAGTGTTGTTGCTGCAAACGGGGGGAGTCTGTATTGGGTGGCAAAAATCAATAAACTTCCTCTTAATGTAGGGGGAATGAATATTTTTAACCTGAATTATAGTGGGACATGGATCATGACACTGGTGTTATCCTCTGACCAATGTTTAATAATAGATAACAATGCTGAATACCTATTGGGAAACTGTGTTTTTTTTTAAGGAACAGAGAAGGAAAAGTATAAGGTAGAGTTATTCAAATTAGTGCAGAATGAATGAATCCAGCCATTGAAATTAGGGTCATTTATTGATTATGTGCCAGGAACTATAATATTTGATTCATATTGTTTAGATAAGAAATCTAAGATGGGATGATTCTACTGATATGCCACAAGACAGGAAATTTTGGAAAATATTACCACTTTTTGGGTATTCTGTGCAATTATTGAATATCTGTATGAATATTTTGTTATATTAATTTTTATACATTTTGATCTTAACAAATTATTAATGTAATATAGAGCCAATAAATATTTAAATACTTTTAGATATTTTTGATTAGCAACTTTTCAGTAATAAAAAAATATATATATATTTTTTCTAAATCTTTATTGTTGAATATATTACAGATGTTCCTCATTGTTCCCTCATTGACCCCCTCCTCCCCACTCCTGCCCCCCTTCCGCCTTTTCCCCACACTACTGTCTGTGTCCATTGGTTATGCATATAATTTCTTTGGTTTATTTCTTCCCACCCCCCAACCCCTTTCCCTTTGAGGTTTGTCAGTCTAGCAATGAATTTGTACTTCTTAATCCCTTCACCTTTTTCACCCATTCTCCCAACCCCCTTCCCATCTGGCAACCAACAAAATGTTCTCTGTATCTATGAGAATGTTTCTGTTCTGCCTATTCATTTTGTCAGTTGATTCCATTGTTGATAGATATGTATTCATCGCCATTTTGTTTGTTCATATATTTTATCTTTTTCTTCAAAAAGACCCTTTATCATTTCATGCAATAACGGTTTGGTGGTGATGAACTCCTTTAATTTTTTCTTGTCTGGGAAACTCTTTATATGGCCATCAATTCTAAATGACAACTTTGCAGGATAGAGTAATCTTGGTTGTAGGTTCCTGCTTTTCATCACTGAATATTTCTTGCCACTCCCTTCTGGCCTGCAAAGTTTCTTTTGAGAAATCAGTTGACAGCCTAATGGGAACTCCCTTGTAGGTAACTAGCTGCCTTTCTCTTGCTGCTTTTAAGATTCTCTCTTTGTCTTGAACCTTTTGCATTTTGATGATGATGTGTCTTGGTGTGGGCCTCTTGGGGTTCATCTTGTTTGGGACTCTCTGTGCTTCCTGGACTTGTATGTCTGTTTCCTTCACCAAGTTAGGAAAGTTTTCTGCCATTATTGTTTCAAACAGGTTTTCAATTTCTTGTTCTCGCTCTTCTCCTTCTAGCACCCCAAGATGCGAATGTTGGCACACTTGAAGTTGTCCCAGAGGCTCCTTACACTCTCCTCATTTTTTTGGAATCTTTTTTCTTTTTGCTGTTCTGATTGGGCATTTTTTGCTTCCTTATATTCCAAATCGATGGTTTGCTTCTTGGATTTATGTACTCTACTATTGAATCTATGTAAATTATTCTTTATTTCAGTTAATGCCTTCTTCATTTCTGACCGTGCATCCATTATTTCTGACTAGTCCTTTTTTATGCTCTTGAGGCCCTCCCTAAGTTCACTGAGGTTCTCACTAAGTTCACTGAGCATCCTTACAAGCAGTATTTTGAACTCAGCATCTGTTAGGTTGCTTATCTCCATTTCGCTTAGTTCTTTTCTTGGGATTTTGTTCTGTTCTTTCATTTGGGACCTGTTTCTTTGTCTCCTCATTTTGGCTGCCTCCCTGTGTTTGTTTCTGTGTATTACTTAACGAGATGTATGGGGCTATCTGAGACCAGATGCTGCTTGTTTGAAAGAATTTAGGAAAAACCTGAAGCAGGATCCAAGACAGGCCAATCCTATGGTTAAGCAAGTGGCAACAGCTTGGGTGGGCTTGAAAGTTGGGTGGGGCGGGGCCTCAGGGAGTCAGCAGGGCGGGGCTACCAGTGTGAGCCAGGTTGCTGGAGTCCCAGATATGGCGACTGTCTGCCGCCCCAGGGAAGGGTTCACCAAAGGAACAAAGGCCTCTGACAGCACATTTGTCCCTGAGAAAGCCCCCTCTCCACCCCTCGCTCCAGTGCCAAACAGCTCAGTTCTTCCCTATATGTCTCTGGCGCCCCTCGAGTTGCCTCCCCTCCAAGCTGAGAGGGAGCGAGTCTGATAAGTCTGTGCGCCGGCCCTTTAGGGAGCTGCCTGGGGCTCCAGCTGCGTCAGCCTCCCTGAGCCTCAGTTCTCGCTGGTTTTTCCAGCCAGAAGTTATGGGGACTTCTCTTCCTGGCACTGCAACCCTGAGCGGGGCACCTGGTGTGGGACGGGGACCCCTCAGTCCTCAGGGAGGACCTTCCCAGCCGAGGTAGCCTGATTTTTATCTGCTACACGTGGGTGTGGGACCAGCCTGTCGCGCCACCGGCCCTTGAGCCTGCGCCCCTCCGCCCCTCCGCCCCTCCGCCCCTCCGCCCCTCCGCCCCTCCGCCCCTCCGCCCCTCCGCCCCTCCTTCCAGTCTGGATGTGGCTGCTGCTTCAATTCCATAGTTGTAGGACTTCCATCAGCTTGATTTCAGGTGGTTTTGAATGTGGTGGTTCTGTAGTTTAGTTGTAACTTTGATGTGGTTGTGGAAGGACTGTGCTTACCTACGCCGCCATCTTGACCACATAAAAAATATTTTTTATTTGCAGTATCTTTGATTCAGTGTTGCATTACGAAATTTACAGTGAATTATGCACCAGTGTTCCTGGTGTCATGACAGGAGTATTTACCAAAGAGCCTATACTGAGTCCAGTAGTTCTTTAGACAGACTCCTAAGTTTTGAAGTATTAAATTATATACTTAAGAATAAATTCCTAGTAGATGACTTTTCTCTTTTTATAAAGGTACCCTATAAATCGGTGGGGAATGTCCAGTCCATGGGCCTATAAGGCCTGTGAAGTCAGTACCAGCTAACATCACATGCCTCACCAAATTAGCTTGACTAAACGTAACAGGCTAATTTTTAAATTGATAATTTTGTATGGCCCATGGATAATGTTATAGATATCCAAATGGTCCTTGGCAGAAAAAAAGTTCCCCACCCCTGCTGTAAATGAATATAATCAGACTGATGTTCAAATAACACTTACTGAAAACTTTTCTTTATGCATTTTATCATGGAAAACTTTAAGCATATATAAAAGTAGAGAGAATGGGCCCTGGCCAGTGTGGGTCAGTTGGTTGGAGTGGTGTCCCATACAAGAAAGGTTGCAGGTTCAATTCCTGGTCAGGGCATATACCTAGGTTTCAGATTTGGTTTCTGGTTGTGGTGTGTATGAAAGGCAACCTATTGATGTTTCTCTCTCTCTGTCTCAGTTTTCTCTAAAATATCCTTCTGGTAAGGATTGGAAAAAAAAGTCTCTTAAAAAAAAAAAAAAGGTAGAAAATGGATTTGCATGTTACCTAGCACAGCAAATATTAACTTATGGCCCATCTTGTTTCATTTAGTCCTAGTCAAAATTCACTCTTCTAAATTATTATTACTATTATATTTTAATTGAAGTAAAATTGGTTTATAACATTATATAAATTTCTTGTATACAACATTGTAGTTTGACATCTGTATGCAAAGTGATTATCACTAAAAGTGTAGATACCATCTAACACTGTTGAAATCGTATGTGATTGTCTGACTTACTTTACTTAGCATAATATGCTCAAGGTTCATCCATATTGTCACAAATGACAAGATTTCATTTTTTTTATAGCTTAGTAGTGTTCCATTGTCTGTGTGTTCTCACATCTTGATTCATTCACCCATCAATCTCAGACACTTACATCTCACATCTTTATTTATTCACCTGTCAGTTGACACATAGGTTGTTTCCATATCTTGGCTATTGTAAATAATGCTGCAGTGAACCTAGGGGTGCATATATCTTTTCAAATTAATGTTTTTATATTGTTGGGATAAATATCCAGAAGTGGAATGGATAGATCATATGGCAGTTCTACTTGTGGCAGTTCTCTTTGTTTTTTGAGGGATCTCTATGTTTTCCATAGTGGCTATGCCAACTTACATTCTTACCAAAAGTGTGTGAGGG